GTTTTTCTTTAATTCGAAATAAAAGTGGTTCTAACCTATAAAAAAATTAATATTTTTATTGAAATCGAAGAAAACAGGGAGACGAATAAGACCATAAATTTGCCTATTTCCTGCCTGACGTTGCACTCACGTTTCAGCCAAAAAATGAACACCATCAAAAAGTTGTTCCGACAGACGTTATTCAAACTTAAATTGGTGGATAACTACATAGTACAGGAGGCACCTTAGTGAAATTCATTTCTTGATGGAAGCTTGAGATGGATCACATATGAATTTTTGATTTATTAGGTGGCTAGTATTCATTGAGTTTGAAAAATATACGCTTTTGTAGCTTATGAAAAATACTATTGCCTGACATAGAAAGATCTGTTTCGACAAAGCTTCATGGATCTTCAACAGAGAATAAACCAACAAGCAGTAGCGAGTTGTTAGCTAATGTACAGATAAGGCTTTTCAATAGACTTTTCGGTTATTATCAAGATACCTCACAAAATCGACGAGAATTTAGATGATAAGAAACTAAGGATAATATTTCTGGCCTTTCGTTACCCTGGGAATCATTGAATTGATTTGAAATTACTATCACATGACTCAGGGTAGCATTGTGCATCAAACGAAAGATGATTTTTAACGATCCATAAAATAAGCAAATTTATGATCTTAATCTCTCTTCTTTCTAAAAGCAAAAGAAAATTATTTTTTCTTTACCATCCAACATTTGCTTCACAATGAGCATCAAGAAAAATAACAACATCACCGGTAGCTATATAAATAAGAACTAGAACTTTTTGTTTTAATTTCAAAATAAAACTAACCATTTTTTGCACCATAATTTTTTCCTTTAATCAATCCAAGTCTCGTTGGTGCTCGTAATACTCTAACTAATTCTCCAAAATGTTCTTCACAATAATCATCTAAACGTTGTCCCATTTCCTCTAAATCATTGAACATACATAAAATCATTTGTTTTTTTTTTTCTATAGAATTTCTCGTTACCAATATCCGATTGATCATCAACTAAAATAACTTCTTTTAATAAATGCTTTGGTGAACGATTAAGAACTGAATAAACAGTTCGAAGTACTGGTGACCAACGTTCGTTTTTAAATACAATGACAACGGATGCAGTTGGTAAATCATCTGGATAGTGAACTGATTTACATCTATATTTTTTTTCTATGAATTAGATAAAAATGAAAAATTTCAATTTTTTAACATACAATGAATCTCGAGTATCAGGTATTGATCTCCATAATGAAATTTTATCACTTGCACGTAAATTAAAAAATTCTTTTTTCATAATCGCATCTAAATCTTTGGATTCTTCGGCCTAGAGAAACAACACATATACTTAAATTAAATTAAGATTTTTCTTCTGATGTATTTCTCCATTACCGTTAAAGATACACCTGCTCCATTTTCTCCTGGACACTGACGACATGGTTCAGGTGTTGTATATGTTTCTCGATTAATACGTATTTTCTTTTCTTGAATATTTCTAGGTTTTCTACTAGGTAAGTCTGTATTTGATAATGATGAATTATTATTACTGTCATGAAAGAGATATATAATAAGAAAGATAAGAAAGAGAATTACTACAAATCTATTACGACGACGACATACACGCAAAGGGAGATGTCGAAATAACATCTGAAATAGATCAAAAATAATTTCGTTTAATTAAAGATGTAATCTTTTGATTTTGATTTAGTTCCGTTGTGGCTTACAATATATGAATATTTCATTCACTTTTTATTTCTTATAATAATTGATTTGTGCTTTTTATTTAAATGGCAACAGATGAATAGTAAACAACATGCATGAAGAAAACAAACTAAAAACATGCAAATTAAATAGTACGCAGTTATACACAATCAATGCAATCACTAATTAATATTCCATAGAACTAGTAAAACGAAATTGTTAATACTGACCGTTCCATGTAGGATTAAATATTTCAACCGTCGTCACATGTTCAAAAATCAAAAAAATTTATAAATATTGAAATAGTATGTACGTATACTGACGAGGGAACCTCCTGAGGTGCTAAAAAGCTTTTGAGCTCAAATTTTGTGCACAAGTAGGGGATATATAGACTAGAAAAACCATAAGATAATATTGGCGCAAGTTACAATATGGCCTAGATATCGACTTTTTACTATAATTCTTCTGTAGGACCCCATTCCTTCGATAAAACCAAATCTTTCAATTTTGGCCTGAAAATTTGCCCACATAAAGGTCTCTATCAGGCTAGCTTGCTTACTAAGTTTCAGAATTTTTGGACAAATCATCTCTGAGATATGAATTTTTCAAAATATCCATGCATAACACAATATGTCTACAAAAGCGTCTCTATGCTAATATACTCATATCTCAGAGATGATTTGTCCAAAAATTCTGAAACTTGGTAAGCAAGCTAGTCTGGCAGAGGCTTTCACAAGGGCAAAGTTTCAGGCCAAAATTCGAAACTTCGGTTTTACCGAGAAAATGGGGTCCTACAGGAGAATTATAGTAAAAAGTCGATATCTCAGCCAAATCGCAACTTGCGCCAATATCATCTGAGAGCTTTTCTAGTTTATACATCCGCTACTTGTAGGCAAAATTTGAGCTCAAAAGCTTTTTAGCACCTCCGGAGGTACTCTCGTGAGATCAGTGATTCCAATCTATGGAAACAAGCGAGTTTTGGTAGAACTGTTGAAAGAAATATAGGAAAACTATCGCATCCGGCCAGAAAATGCTGGAAATTGATGAAATGTGGAAGCAGCGTTTCAGGCAGAAATGCCTCTGGATTTTTTCCGATGAATTGTCATCGTTTGCCGTCAGTAGTAACAGAAATTTGACTGGAACTCATAAGAAAAAACCGATATACTATTCTCACATTTGATCAGTTTTTAGGGAATTCCTATTGAAACGAATTACTGTCCATGCAAATGAATATATTCGTTAAAAATATTACCAAAAAACCCCGTGTACTACTATGCGATTGAAAAGCATAGAATTTCACAAGGAAAATATTCATTTCAATAGAATCTTATTATCAAATATTCTAAATAATTGTAGTAAATAGTCAACGATCGACACATCAAAATTATTTCATTTACATTACACGTCAATGATCAATACATCAAATAAAAAATAATTAAAACAGCTTAATCTTCAATAAATTACCGTATTCAGATGAATAATAAACAGTCTGAACTATATTTACAATAGATAATTACCGATTATCAAAATGCTTGTTTAACATATAACAACAAACGATTTACAATGAAAGTATTCATATTTATCAACGATTAATGTAAGAAATATTTGACTGTTGTAAATATATCTGAAAACGAAAAAAAAGAACTTTTTATTGGGAAAAACTACAATAGATGATTAGTTTGTAAATACAAATCACCAGAGATTTCTTGAATAAAAAATAAGTAAATTTTCCAACGTATGATTAGAAAAAATGGAATCTTATTACCAATCAAGCAGTAGCTGCTTCTTTCGCTTGACGTTTACTTTTAACTATATTTTTAATAAAATATTCTCCAGCTCGATAAGATGATCTAACAAGTGGTCCACTTGCTACATAAAGAAATCCAATTGATTCACCGTAATCTTTTAATTCTTCGAAAATTTCTGGTCGAATATATTCTTTAACTTTTAAATGTCGTCTTGTTGGTTGCATATATTGTCCTAATGTTAAACAATCAACATTAGCTCGTGTACGTATTTGACGCATTGTTTCTCGAATTTGTTCATTTGTTTCACCTAAACCTAACATTAATGAAGTTTTTGTTATTAAATTTGGATTTATTTCTTTTGCATAAATAAGAACATTTAATGATTGTTCAAAATTAGCACGATAATCACGAACATGTGATTGTAATTCTCGTACAGTTTCAACATTATGTGCATAAACATCTAAATTTGATTTAACAATTGTTTCAATACATTTTTTATCACCACGAAAATCTGGTGTTAAACATTCAACAAGTAAATTTGGTTTTTGTCGTTTTATGGAACTTATTGTTTGTGCTATATGTGATGAACCTTGATCAGATAAATCATCACGATCAACAGATGTTAAAACAATATAATCAATATCCCATGAACATATAGCTTTAGCTGTATTCTCTGGTTCATTTGGATCAGGTGCTGCAGGTTTACGAGAAGTTTTAACTGAACAAAAACGACAACCACGAGTACATTCATCACCTAACAGCATAATTGTAGCGGTTGCAATACGATCTTCACCACCATTCCAACATTCACCTAAAGATAAATTTTTGGATAAATTAAGAATTTTATTCAATAAAATATTAGATTGATATAGTTTGATATTGTTACCTGAATTTTTTCATATTTCATACTAACAGAACTGAAGACAAATGAATACATATTCAAATTCAATATTTACATATTTTTTTAGAAGCTTCTTTTTTTTGGATTAGAAATCATATTTGTCAATATTTCAACTCTGATTTATTAATCATATTTGAAAATCGAGTTTTTCTATGTATTCTTTTTTCAAGGTCAATTAATTGAAAAAATATGCATAAAATTCTCACCGATATTCGGACATTTTGCTTCGACACAAACTGTATTTAAATTTAATTTTGATATTGTCTTTTTTAATTTTGTAAAATTTTCTCCCATAGGTATTTCAGTTTTTAACCATGGTGGAATTCGAAGACGTTGTTCACCTTTGCCTAATACTAAATTTCCCTGATAATCATTTGATTTATTATTTTGTTTAAGAAAATATCCGAAATCAGGACCATTTTCAAGACGAGATTTTCCATGTAAATAACGATTAAAATAAAAATTTATTTGAGATTTTCGAAGAAAATATTTCATTATAATCAAAATTAGAAAATAATAGATTGTCACAATTATGAATGACTCGTATAGTAAAAGTTACACGGCGTCATCTATATTATTTTATTGGTTGACTTTTTTTTTCGTTTGTTATTTTTTTTTTTTCATTCATCAAAAAATTCAGTTGTATTATGTATAACCAACAACAGTATCAATTGGGATCATTCTCCCAACAAAAATCTACTATACAAAAAGTACATAAATTTTTTTGTATAAAAATTTCAAATCTTTATTTTTTTTTTCTTAGTTACTTGATGATAATTCACAATTAATTTCATTAATTCTTGATTTACAAACTAAAGGAAAACAAATTGAATGTCTCGAGTAGGTCTTTTCTATTTAAATAAAAATATTTTTAATTAACTTTTTCTTAGATATGAACGAACATTATATCGAAATTTAACTTATTTAATTCAATTCGATCCATCAACATCACATCATCCAAATAATCTACCAGTTTGTATATTTCTTTATTATTTATAGATATAATATGTCTTCTTTATTGTTTAGCCACCAGATGCATTTATTCAAATACAATCACAACAACCAATGATAGTAAGAACTTCTTGAATTTATCATAGAAAAACGTTTTCATTTAAATATTTCTAAGAATGGAAATATGGTTCAACAAACTCAATCTGATCAAAGTAAACATTTTGAATTAAAGCATCATTCCTTTTCTTACTGAAATATATTGATTCATTATTTTACTTAATTTGGTATTCGTTTAGCAAATTTTCACACTGTGTCCTATTGCACGATATACTGATATTCAAGTTGGTATTCCATCTTCTGATATTTATGTAATATTGGAAGATGGAACACTTGCTAAACGAATACTAAAATTATCAATGGGCTCTTCAATGAGAGAATTTATCTGTTATCAAATTTTGGCATAAAGTCAATATATAAGTAATGATTTATATCACGATTAGATCGGTCGAGGATATATTTCTTGCCTTTCTGCTTGTTCCAGAGGAGGTCCGATCGATTCTACTTTCTTGTAACTCATGAAGAAGTCTTATTTAGTGATAAATCGATTTTGAGATGAATCTCACTTGAACAAGCAGCTTCTATTGAAACTATATGAAACCTTAAAAGATGCTTGTCCTTACATGTTTCTTATTCATTTATAGTCATGTTAGTGAGTTTTTCGACAAAATGTCTTGATCATCCTTTAAAACCGACTTTCAAGTTCTAACTTCGTGAAAATAACCTTTTCAACAAGATCAATTCATTATGCAAGCAATATTATTATTTGAACGTTAAAAAAAGTGTTAGCACGATCCTTGTGGGATCAAAATGTAAAACGTGATATAATTGCTATTGCTAATTAGATAATAATTATTTTATTCTATACATCTTGGAACATATTTCTTCACCTTTCTTTTACTTAATACTTCACAAATGTAATACAAAAGTAATTAATATGTCGTAATGAATCGTTATTGATACATGAGAGATTTAAATTTCTATCCTATATACTTCAATACTTCTATTTGACTATGTTTCACAAAATACTAAGAAATCTCACGTTTACAATGAACAATTTTCTTGTTTGTTCAAAGTTTGAATTCGAAAATCAATTTTGTAGATGATGTGACCTCAACGAAGGCATTTTGATTAGACGTTCGTTATTTTTCATAGGAACTTTCTGACTAAGTAAGACTCATCTTAAAATTCGTGTATTATTTACAAAGTTTAAACCATCAATTAAGTTATATCTATTGAGTGCCCTTTCGTAATATGATGTATCGATTTTTTAGCCTATAGAACACAAACAAATACTCTAAATCAAACTTCTCATCATCCCAATACTAGTTCATATCCTTTATCTACATGTACAAATTCATCAGTTGAACAACAACATTCATCTAATTTAAATTCAGTAAACAAATCTCAACAACGAATGCCATATTTACAACAAGGAAGAGTTCTTAATAGTAATTCAATGGATTCATCCTATTCACAATCTTATATTCCACAACAACAGCAACATTCATATTCAATACAACAAAATGGTTATGAACAATATCCAATGTATAATCAACAACAAAGTAGAATTTAAACTTTTTATTTTCTTCTCTTAATTTAAGTTAAACAAAAAAATAATAATAATAAATTTAGATCCAACATCTCAATCGAATTCTCCTATAAATAATTCTTCAACTAATACACAAAATTTTATTTCAAATCAACAAATTATGCATAATAATTTAAATGAACAATCACAAATGTATTATCCACAACAAAATTATCTTATGCAACAACAATGGCAAAATCAATCCCGTATGCCTATGTCACAACAACATCAACAACAATATACATCGTCCTATCAACAACAAGTACCACCTCAAGCTTAATTTGTTTCTTTTACTGTTCCTTTTTTTCTACGGTGTTAATATTTCGAATGGTTATGTATTATTTATAAATTTTGTTGTTTTTTTCCTGTGAAAATTTGTAATGAATCTCATACCATATTCGATTCTAGTCACACACCTATATTTTATTTTTCGGTGTTTGTTGATTACTCATTATATATATATGTGTGTGTGTGTCTGTCTACGAACAAAATAAAATATTTAATAACACAAAGACGAGTATTGTAATATAAATAATAAAATATGGTTTATTTTGTTTTATATTTAGAAATGTCGAAGATATTCTTAGTTGACCCAGAAACAGGCAATAATTATCAAGGCGATGAACAAACAGTAACTAATGTAATGAACATTAAATAAAATTAGTTAAAATTTTTTTTGTTTTATTGATTGTCATAAGATGGTAAAATTTTATATAAGATTTGTTTTCAGAATAGAAAAATTATGTTAATTTGAATTTTTCTCGTTTGTTTTATTTATACTGAAGAGCACTTCTTAGACTCGTAGAAAACATTTTACAATCAAGAATGACTAGCTTTTCTAGAATATTAATGTAGATTTATAATTACTACCTCATCATGACTTCCTTAACTTTAAGTTTATTGTTTGACTGAGAATGATATATGAAAGAATTTATTTTGTTCAAATTTTGATTCTTTAAACTATGGAAGAAGTTAAATCAGTAAATCATTATTTGACATCGTTTTTATGTATAGGAATAATTCTGAAAATTGGTTCAAAATAAATATTGTTTTTTAGAGACATAATAAATTATTATTAAACCTTTGTAATATAAGAGAATTTTAAAAAAGACGAAGTTTCCTTTTTCTTTTGGAGGGTAGATATATCCTCGCTAATGACGGAATTTCCTTCCGATTTCAATGATGTTTTTGTTTATAGATACTACATACTGTTCTTGTAAGAACCTCAGAAAAATTTGAGTTCCTATGAAGCTTTGTTTAAGCCATTGAATTTATCTGAAACTCTGTGCATATAAAGAACCCTACTGAACTAACTTCCATAAAAATAATTCTTAAGTTTTGAACAAAGTGTTTGCGAGATATGAAACTTTCAATATATATAGAATTTTTTGCATGAATAGTGTACGCAACATGCTTTTTTTCGAAAGTCTCATATCTTCAAGAGGCTTTGTTCAACATATCTAAATTGTTTTATGGACGTTAGTTTAGTTGATTTTACTACATGTATAAATTTTTAGATCAAAATACGAGTCTGACGAAAAACTGGAATCTTCAGAAAAAAATGCAATAAGTTAGTCAAATCTCAATAGGAATTAAAATTGTCGCAGGAATTTTATTAGAACACTTTACAGTATTTATAGGCAAAAAATCACAAGGGGACATCTGAGAAGGTTCTCTTGTAAGCTTGTGTTTTGAGGACAAGTTTGAAAATATTTTAAGTAAAATTTAATTGAATTAATTCTTTCCGATCAGTCACGTTATTAATTATGTTTATTTAATCTCTTAATCTTCTACGGAGAAAAAAAAAATTATTTTTCGTCATCCTTTTTTGTATTTGTACTTTTATTTCTACTTCATTACATGAGTAATAAAGTCAACTACTTTTATATATATATACGCATATATTGCACTTTTATTTCAGTGCTATTGGCTTACGTATTTTTTAATTTATTTAAAAGTGGCGCATGACGATGATGATGATGAGAGCATAAACATGTCTGTTTTCATATTTTGTCAATTTTTAAGTGCGATCATGGTTAAATATTTGTTTTTTTCTGATGATCGAGCATATGATGTTTTTGTAGTTAACAAGGCTCATAAGTGATCACTCATCGTGTTACTAATTATTGATAAATTTACAAAAGACAAGATAAGTCGAAAATTCTCCTCGTTCGATTATTCAAACTGTTCATATAGATGATCTTAGTCTTATACTTCTCGTTTGTAACATTACTGTATATCCTAATAAAATACTTTGTCTTCTGTTTATGGAAAACTCGAGCAGTCAAACAAGTAGAACTTAGAGTTAGATTGGTTCTTTGCTTCAACTCCATCGGTGATTATTTGTAAACCTTATTAACCATTAGAAACACATTTGCCTTTCGGAAAAAAAAAACTTTTAGACACGCTCGTACTCGAAAACCAATATATTTTTATTCACTGCTCTATTTTATGCTGTCATTATCATCGAAATACACGCGTTTGAAAATAAATGAAACAAGTCAACTAACATAATACCTAAACAAAACACAACATACACATATATGTATAGTTGACTCTATTACCTATGTCACGACGTAAACATTAATCTACAACAACATATAAGAAACGATGAAAAGTAAACGTTTCTGTTTTGATCGTTCGACAGTACACCATAGAATGGTTGCCGGCCAAATTATTATTTTTATTAACAATTCTCAAAGTATTTTTTTTGTTTTTCTTTGGACAAAAATTTTCTAACAGTTAAATTGCCTTATGGTTTAAACAAAATTTTCTACTAAACCTGTTGAAACTTCATCATCACATTGTTTATTATTCATATTATTATTAATTTGTATAGGGAAAATTTTCTAGCAAAATATATTGCTCTTCTTACCTCAATTGAATTCTAAGCTAATGTGTCTTTGTTTTTGTTTTTCAATTTAGTTACTTCGAGAAAATGCTGCATTAATTCGAACAATAAAAGAATTACAAAATGAAGGAAATGATGATAATTTATTTGATTATATGAAACAATTACATCGAAATATCTTATGGCTTAGTTTACTAGCTGATGGAACATCAATAAAAAACAAATAATTAGTATAATATAACGTTTATTTATATATATATATGTATAATATGTATATTGTTTTGATGAATTTATCATTACCAATTAGCTCCATTT